ATTTACTAGGAAATCTGACGCTGATGTTCCACTATCACATTTTCCTTGATTCAAGACAAGAATATTAATTGACGCCAGGACAATTCCGATTTGTCTATTAGCATGCTAATGTTTATATTCTAAAGGATTTTTAATGGTCTCTCGAAATTAGTTTTTTCTCCCAGAAGGTGTTCCAACTGTGTCATTTTCGGCCCGCTTTGCTACGCTTAGTTCATCATAATAGAGCATTCARTGTGGAAATTTTTCAATGTACTTTCTTTTCGTTTAAAGTTTATTTGTAGTGGTTTCAAGAATTATCATCTTTTTTAGAGAGAAGTAGATGTTTTAGTAGTATAAAAATAGATACATCGAAAACATTTTTGTCTAATATCAATTTTGAAATTGCATCCATATTTAATTTAACAAACATCTAAACGGCTCGTATGTTTTTACTCAAAAACATATATTTTAAGTCAAAGTTGTGATAACATCTTCAAAAACAAAGTAGCACTGAAATGTAAAGATCTAAACAAAATTTGATATGTACTCAACTCATTTCTTATTCTCAGAAGATGAAACATTATCTGAACTGTAACTTATCACATAATGAATTCATGAGTTTCGATTTTTTTCTTTGATAATTTGCGATGAAAAGCCAAGCTTGTACAATTGGCATTCTCTCTCAATGATMCCTTGTTATAATTATGTCCGATTCTTAATCTTTTGTATAGCAGTTCGGAGGTGGATTTTTTTCATTATTCGACAATCATGACAAAGCTGAACTTATTATCAAATATCCTCATCCACTTTTAGCCGGCATTTACATCGAAAAGTGATTAATTGGGAATATTTTTGTTCTATACTTCCTATTTATTCAAATCAAAGAAATAAATTTTCGTCTTAGTTTAAGCTTGTACAAAATACCCTCATAACGTTTTAGCAGATGAAGAACTTTGACACTGTTATAAGGCCAGATTTTCAACCCTGCTATCTTTCAATTGAAGTTTAGACGCCTTAAATTAAAAAAAWTGTCCCATATTCTTTTCAAAAAAGCAATATTTAAGCTTTTTCTAATCATTTGAGTCCTTTTTGCCTTTTTTCTTKATTTAATTCGGCTCTCAGTTCAACGCAGCTGTCGCCCATCATCTTAGTGCAATCAGTGACCTCATCGATTGTGACAGGGTAAATGGGCTTCTAGATCGAGCCTTAATCGTCCAATTGAGTCCACCTTCAAATCGGTTTTTTTAGTTTTGTTTATCTAAATACATTTAAATAATTGGGATTTGTCTTAAGAAAGAAAGTTATCTTTCGTCCGCTTATCAAGAGGGTGTTTTTCAGGGTTCGTTTTAGGGCCTTTTTTCAAGCCGATTTTATCATCGTTGTTTTAAGTAAGATAAATATAACATGGTGCTTAACAAGTGAAATCTCTCCAGCCTGTATGCTGTACTTAAGGGCCATTCCGTTTATTTCAAATAATTGATCGTTATTCCGAGGATTTTGTACGCTTATAGGTTGTAAGTTTTCAATGTTTCTTTGTGCATGCATGCATGACTCATAAACTCACAAAAWTCGCTTACTTTTCGTTTAGAATCARTAAAAAGTAGCAGCTATTAATAGCTTTTTTAAGGTCGCTCAAAGAATCCCATGTTATGATTAAAACAACACAGAATCAACAGATTTTTTTTACAAACTGATCATGCAATAAATTGAATATCAATTCAGTTWTTTTACACACTGATGCAATATATTGAATACTTTTGATTTTGTCAGTTTTAAGAGCACACCTTAAACATTCCACACAGAGCACCTCTGAATAGAAAGCTTCTTTTTTTCTGCTTAAATTGAGTCAAAAGCCTTTTTGTTATTCTAATTTTTTCGTCTTTTTGTTGTTCTGCAGTGCCGTCGTTTCCCTCTAATCTAAGCAGCTCTCTCGCACAAGTGCAATGACGTCACGTCCGATTTCTAACTTAACTCCTTTAATAGATGTTAGAAGATAAGTTTGCACTTGTTTACCCAAACTGTTTTAAAATTATCTCGCTTCTTGGTTGTTCTATTTGGCTCGAGGGTAAAAACTTTAATTAGCCTTTTGCAAGAAAATTCGACCTTATTTTTCTCATATTATTGGAAATAACGGTGGCTTCYACCTAAAGGGCAGATAGCAGCATCTATCGGTTATATGATAAATACACTATCTATGTTTCTTATTATAGTCAGTAATTTTTTAGACTCTCAAACGACGTCCAATTGAGTTCTGCCGCAAAACCCCAATATTTTTGTTTCCTGTGAAACAAAAATTCAGCCTTCTTTGCATGTTAATTTTGTTGACTAAAAGTTCCACGCTCCGAGTGCTGACAAGAATTTAAGTTTAAACTTTAAACTCTTGCTTCGGTGCAAAATACTTTTCAGGTTGATACGGTGGAGGTTTGGACCTATTGATGCAGAATATTTCTTCTTCCATTCAGAAGAAAAGTATACTTCTGCACAATGAGTCAAATTATTATTCGCTTCCGCATTTGATCACCACAGGGGAAATTTTGCATACAATTTCTTGCCTTGAAAAACTACTTATATTACGGTTTTCCAACTTCAGATTAATTTTGAAACTGCGCATTTTGCTCTGACAAAAATCAATGCCTTTTTACTGCATTTTGTAATCTTTTTGAAGTATGCTTTTTAATGCATATTTTGTTGTTTGTCAAGCGCATTTRAAATCGTTCTTCATAATATTCBATCTTCACAGTCGATATTTTGCCTCTTTTGAGTCATCTTTTTATATAAAAAGCGAAACCCTACCTTGGTTGACAGATGTTTTATAACGCGTTACGCGTGACCCACTTACGTGACAAAGTGCGTGAGCTTAATTGTTTTAAGTCAAATTGAATTGAGATGTGTTCTTTGAAAGCCTCTATCTACCATTATTGCTATTCAACTGATTGAAATCTTACCCGTAAAATAGACAAAAGRGTCTAAAATTGATCGTAATACCTAGAAAACATAGTATATTGTCTGGCTGTGGGTCTATTCCTCAAAGCCTTCATTATTGAGTCAGCTCAAGAAAAGTTAACCTGTCTGCTTTCCAACCTTTTCGCTAAAAATAAATCTTCTGTGTGGCTTAAAAAGCTTTGATATCACAAATTGACTAAAGTCTTCTTTTTTTTGAAAAACAGTGTTTTATTTAAGTGCATTTTGACCGGAACTTGTGATCGTTCCAAGACGATAACAACAACATCACAAAAGACAGTATTCTTCCAGTGTTTCTTGATTTATTACAAAAGCTCTGCTACAGTAAACGAAATAACCAGTTGTAAACATATAACGTGTGTTGAARATTTTCACRATTAAACGTTAGAGTTTTTCCAACATTTACTTTTTAATTGAAAAAACAAGTTCTAACAACCTGAATCTGTCATTTCTTTACTATCAAATCAAGTTGATAAGAAATACTATTTTCCTGAATCTTCAAAGGAACGTCAGTTTCTTTCCTTTATATAAGTCATTTTCTGTACGTTGGAAATGACATTGAATGACAGAGCAGAAAAGCCTGTTATAAAAGATTTCCGAGTTGTTTTGAACCGTTACCGAAACTGTCGTGGGTGTACTGATTATATAGGAGTTACTTGTTCAATGAATTGGGCCTAATGTGCTTCAGAAAAATTTCAAATAAATTACACTTAAATGGTCCTTTTAGAGTTGAGGGCACACAAAATCATTACATTTCTAGATTAATAGAGCGCTCTCTTTCTTCAGGTTTTGTGTAATGRTTTTTCAATTGTATGTAGTTATCGGTAAGAGCAGTTCACTTGAATTCGTTTCTAGTCTTTTTCACGTAAGCTGCAACTGTCTCAGTTGTATTTTCTATGTTCCTTTTTTCGGCGGAAATGAGCCGGAGCCTGAATGTTTATTATGGAATCGGTATCCGTAAGGGGAAGCTACAATATATAGTTTGAATTATAAATGCACACAATGGCGGGATTGATGAAATGCTAAATACTTTCTGGGCATTATGTCAATCAAAGGTATCTAAAATTTACTCCAGTGAACATTAACACTGCATTATWAGGAACTAGGCAACCCTATTTGGAAAATTRCTCTTCTATTGCTAACTGCAGTTCCGAAACAGTTTCCAATTGAATTGATCGTCCATTCGTTTTATGAACATTTGGAATTAACCTTCATTTGAATTGACGCCTCCCTCCGAGTGTTGTAGTTGATTGTTGGGCAAGTTTATTATCATGCATGACACCTGTGTCAGTCATATTTATTTCTCAGCTTGGACTTGAAATGCGGCCTAAATGGGTAGTTGCCGGAAAGGACATTCAGATCTGACTCAGCAGGGTTTTGGTCTATGATGTAGCTTTCGACCATTAGCTTGCGAGAAAACCTGTCTCCAAAACTTAAAACTGATGAAAAAAAACCCACATAGGAAAAGATATGTATATAGAGCAACGTGAAGTTGAAGGCTTTTTAAATGAACAATAGCCGAGCAGTGTTATTGTGTTCTTGTAAACTAATGAACAATCTAGTTTGGTTATTTTGTTTGACCGCGACACCAAACAGTTTCAAATCTTTTCTTTTTATGACGGCTTATCATTTTCCTCACCCTCGCGTGATATTTTTTAACTCAAGATTGCAATATAAAGAATTTTAGAACTTGTCGAGAAGAAATATCACTTCGAAATTTTCTGTTGCTTTTCCGTAAATCTTTGTATATACGTCTCCTGTTCTATCATACCGCTCTAAATCATTCTAAGATGTGATTAACGTTTGGAGCATGTTTTAGTTTGACAGCCAAATATCGCCATCCAATGAGAGCACGGATTTTTTGTGTGCTTAAGGGGAAGAAATTTATTTGTCTCCGACTAAACACGCTGTGGATGGTCACAGCACTCAAAAACGACGCGTTCTGATTGGCCAGTATGTATAATCCATTTCGAAAGAAACAATAATGCCACATGTGCGATCGTGCTTTCTTATACTTTTCTAACGCGTCTTTTTTGAATTGTGTTCTCGAGCTTTTTGATTGAGTGACAAAGGCATTTGGAAAGTGCTCTAGTCAGCTGCCTGCTGTTAGTACGAACTATATCTGAGCCAACCTCGACGTGYTGCACTGAGAGTCGCCGAGTGCCCGCTTTAAAAGCATCTCGAGCTTCCCCGCGAACTATTTGGAAACGTCAATCTTCCGTGATTAACACCACTCGGCCACCGTGCATCGCCAAGACCTGCGCCTGACACAGGCAGATATCAGTCTGACTTGAGCGCTGAGCTGGTACAAGCCATCTAACCGGTATTTCTGCGGCATTCAAGAGTGCAACCAAAACATGGGCGATGAAATGCTCAGTGTGTTCTACAATGGGGAAATATTTGGACCCAGTGGTTCTTTGACAGAGAGCAGTATTGAGGCTTTAAACAATGGTTGGTCTGACTGCACAGAATTTCATTTATTTCGTGACTATTTTGGGCTAATCCATTTGGTCCAAAACACGACATTAAGCGATGAAGAAGCCGATGAAGATTATAAAAAGTTCTACAAGTTCACCTATAACAGAACGCGAGGGGAYAGCATTGGATCAGACCGTGATTCTATTTCTAGTTCAGGATCAAGTGGAGGATGTCCTGATTTTGACATGAAATTGAGCGTTCCCTTCACTTCCAAAGCTGTGGGCTCGTCAATTGAACCGGGTTCTCATTCCAACAGGTCTCTAGCAAATCTGAAACGATCTGACATTGACACTGCGGCGAGAAACCGAAAAAACCGCGAAAACAAGAAAAATAGAAACGCCAACGTCTGCGTATTTTGTAGAAATAATGGCGAAACAAAGAAAGTTTATTCAAGCCATGTGCTGAAGGATGCAGACGGTAATACAACTTGCCCGATTTTACGAGCTTATACTTGTCCTCTGTGCAAGGCATCTGGGAACGAGTCGCACACCATCAAGTATTGTCCGCGGAACAAGAATGGCAGCAAGCTTCAGGCTAAAGTTTAGCTGCTACGGCAGCAGAACTGAGTAACTCTTAGCTTGTGTCTTTTTAATAACGATTACTTTAAATTTTTGGTTTATTGACGACAGATTTACATCTCTTAAGAAAATGTTTTTAGACATCCCTCTGAAATTTGAGGTGTGAATAATGAATGGAAAAAGCAACGAGTCTATTTGACAAATTGTGTATGAAGTTTGCCTGACAACGGCACACTTTGAAAATACTTGACCGAATCTTTTTAGACTGAATCTTGTTCAAATGGAAATATTTGAGAAGGGTTGATCAGGTAGCTTTCTCCTGAATTCAATGGCAAAAATCAGCTGTTCAAAACGTACAGACTTTGCAAGTTCCCCTTGCTATTAATCTTAATATATATATTTAATATCAACCCCTAAATTCGATTTCAAATATCAAAATGTTATGAGCAAACAAAATATTGTAAATACATATATGTCTATTCAAAATAATACAAGATTATGAAAATATAGAGCTCACCTCTCAGTTAAAATTGAAATCCAGAGGATTGAAAGAAAAGAATATACAAAATCACATGAATCGGAATCAGATTTAGCTTAGCTGCTCAGCAGTGCTGAAAATATGACAGTCAACTGTCCCTTTGTAAAGTCTTTTCAACAAAAATTGATTGTCTTACCAAATTGTTAGCAAATTACAAAGATATTAAAGTCCCTCGTTGGATTGGAATGTAAATAATATATATATATCATATAAGGCATTCACATATTTCAAATGAATGCTTTGAGCCTTTTGGTACCCAAGGAGTTTATAAATGCACGCTCTGAAGAAGTGACTGTCGACAGAATTGTCTTGTATATCATTCATTTATTAAGCTATATAATGTAAATTAAAAATCATCGAAGAATGCAAGAGTAGTTTGTTTGCGGACGCGTTCACATGTCATTCTTTCACAATTTTTTCCTTCTATAATTGTTGCCGTTTGGTAAGACACATGTGATTTTTGACTTGACAAGTACATCCAACAAATCACACATCATTTCGTAAGGCAAACAAATTTACACTGTTCAAATGCGGGTAATTTCTTCAATGTTTGGATATTGTTGTGAATGAATTTTGACTTTGTGCTCGGCCATAAATGTTTATTTAAAAACCCCTCGCCTCAGGCGACACTGCATGAGACTGAAATGTCACTGACGCGGAGAAAAGAAAAAGAAAAACAACCTTTTTTCCCAAAAGATAGATTCTTAATTTAATTGGGAATTTAGCAACCAAAAACCTTCTCTCCCACAAATCAAAATCTCCAGACTATTTTGAAATGATTATTAACATGACAGTATTTTGATTTAGAACTTGATCCGCAGAAAGCTTTCCATTTTCGGTAAGTCCTCCTTCCTCGTCTCCTGCTCAACTCAAAATCTTCGAATTTTAAGTAGTTCCACAATTACATGATATTTTCTCAATCAATTCAATCGAAAGAGCAAGACCTCGGGCATATATATATCAAGATTGAATGTATTTTKGTGACATTCACGTTGATTTGGCTAATATCCTGAAGCCGGCGTTCACAAAGAAATCTCTAGTGAAGCAAATTTTCACAAGAGATCCTGTTTTGCTATCTTCGATTATATATTTCCAAGCAAACGGCAGGGAATGAACTAAGTATTGTGAAAATTCAAACCTAAGTACCAAATTGCAGCAAACACATTTACTTATTTACACCGAGTCATATGGAATGCTAATCGAAAAGAGCAATCAACGAGTTTGGAAATTTTTTTGGGAAAGCCAGTGCACCCTTTCAAAATAAATAGCCGCTCACAAAAAAAAAAAAGAAAAAAAAATTGCAAATTCGCCGCATTCTAATAAGCCATTGGCATTTCGGAAGAGGTGGTCTTTGTGTTTGTTTGTTATCTAAATTATTTTGGTCGACGGGCATTTCTGTATTTCACCCTGCCTGAAAAAAAAAAAAAAAACTATTGTCAGTCCAATCAAGCGATAAGGGAAACTCGGGCACTTGTGCTATCGCAAGTCAATCTATTCATGGCCCTCGATCTGTTTCCTCATAAGAAAACTATATATCGAAAAACATAAGACTAGATTTGATTGGTCCATTTATAATACATACGGAAGTTTCTTGAAAATAAATCAAGAAAGCTTTTTTGGAAGTGCACCAGTGGTCCATAAGGATTTCACTTCATACTTTATTAGAATTAATTCTGCCCATAAAGAAATGTCATTTTCTAGCGAAAAAAGAGCTTATTTTTAACGATTTCTTTCCTAAAAATAGTTCTTATGACAGCTTAAGTACGATGTTTTGTCTTGCTTTGCCATTGTGAGTATTTTGCATTGACTATGGAAGTCGTTGCCATTCTTCTTAATGAAGAAAGCGTTCAAAGAGATAAGGTGCTCATGTTTATTTTAAGCTTTGATCTTTCGTTTTGAAAGAGGAGTGGATTCACAAAGAGTCCATATCCAAAAAGACACCAAAAGAGAATTATAATCCGAGAAAAAGAGCGGCTTTCAATTCTGRAAGTAAAAAAGAATAATCCTAACAACATCAGGTTGCCTCATCTTGGAAATTAAAAGCACTGTGGTCCAATGAAATTGAATAGCCGATTTCAAGTCATAATCCCTAAAAATCAAAATTTACAGGACTGTTACCGAGATAATCTAACTCTCTCTTAAAGGTTTTTAATGCCAATTATTTTAAAACTTCTTTATAGGTTATTTAGTATTGCATTAATCCAGATTTTGAGTCGATATTGATATTRTTGCATGGTATTTCACTCCCGTTCGTTTCTCATGAAATATCCGCTAACCTTCTACTTTTATCGATATTTTGTTTCGACTTTTGTCAACATAAAATGTCTTGTTTCGTAAATATATCCCCAGTGGCCAGCCTTCAATTAACTGTTTTTATTGTTCGCTTTTTTCATTAAGATTTTTCCCAAGGTAAAAGCGCGCTCAATTCCTCAATGATTTCCTGCTCACTTTGTGTAGCAATTCATGACTAATTGTTTCTCCTGCAGAAATTTTCTATTATATTTTGCTCTTTTTTTGTTGGTCCATTGGAAGTGTTCAGCACTTAATTGTTCCTTTATTTGTTCGTCCATTTAGCTTGCAAAACACTCCATAATTCAAGCCATTTCTATTTGCCGTCTGCCCAACTTCCTGTCTCTTCTTTCACAACAATTTTTTCCTCTCAAATTACAAGTTCTCTGCTGACATTTTTCACTTTTTTGCGCTCTTGTGCCCAAAATTCCCCGGGGCCGTGTTTTGATCACTCAGGTCTTTTCACAGCATCTGTAGGCAAAACAGATCAAATAATCTATGGGAGTTTTTTGTGTATTTATTCTTGTCGGCGCGGCAGTTGAGGACGTTTCTCATTGCAGATATCTATTGAGGGTTATGCACTTAAACGAAGGTCACTCTGTTGTTCTCTTCAATAACGCTTCCGCYTCTGAAATGGCATATAAGACGTGTATTTCAGGCTGCAGAACGCTTATTCYACCGTAYATCCTGATTATACGATCAAAMCTATCGATAAAAGTATAAATTTGCTAGTTTAAATATTTAAAACGCGCGAATAAAACATTTTATCGGGGCTTTTAATCGATGCAATATAGATTTTTTAGCCATTCAATCGTCTTTTTATTCCTAGAACAATATACCAAATCAATCACTTGTCGCGTTACAAGTGAAAACAYTATCTATGTTTTCATCGCGCTTCGATGTTTCTTTGTTATCTAGCAGGACGTGCAAGCCAAGTATCTCAGTTATCTTTCTTGTCTGCTACCAAGTTTAAGTTTAGTTGCGGTGGCTGCTATTCGTGCAAGATATTTGTAGATGCTCTTCAAATGAACTAGAGAAACTCTACAAAGCCTCAAGGATCTCTAAACATATCACGTAGTTGATTGCTATTTTTTGTTTTAGATGTTCACTTTTCTTGGTCAGCAGTTTGATATTTCCGAGAACAGGGACTCAATAAGGGCTTTCTCCGTTAACAGAGAACCATTTAAGACCCTTGCTGAGACAGCTGCACAGGCTCTACCTTTTTGATCGAGAAAGGGCATGATTTTGCGAATGATATCATTTTTCGATAGTGGTGAACTTTGAAGAGAGTTTTCAGCTTTCTTTTTTTCAAATGTGATCCTCTAGGTTAGAAACTCTATGGGGATGGGATAGATTTACTAAGATGCCTTGTTTGGTTTTATAGTGACTATACTTTCGGYTCCTTTCTACTAAATGAAAATTGTCCTTTAGGGTTTTGAAATACAGTTAAAGCTAAAGAGTCACAATTTATTCTGTGCCGGTAGACTCTTGAGGAGTGCTTTCAGCTGCACTTATTAAAAGATGTTATCCTTTAGGCTGACACAGGGAAACTCGATACAGAGTCCAATTTCTTAGCAGATTTAATATTTCAATTTTTTCTGCTTGTTCTTAATGAATTTTGAAGAGACCTTTCACAGCTCTTCACTTGATAAAAGAAGCTTTTCTTTAAGTTCAAAAGAATTATTGATACGAGAATTGTGTAGCTGTATAGATGTCAGCATGGTTTCAAGCTGTTCTTGGTGGCTTTTGAAGAGTGCCAGTTCAAGCCATGCTTTATCTTTGCCGCTAAAACCAATATTTTTTAAATGAGGCTATAAATTTTCTTTTCACACTAACCTGCACCAAATGAGATACTTTGAGGAACACGATTTGAGATAGCATTAACTGAAACCCACAGCAAAATCAGAAAATTCCAGCCTAAGTCAGTAGCAGGTCGGTCACAKTCGACCATCACTATATCATTTGATTAACAAAAATTAAACCATTTTCATTATATAAAAAACATTTTTAATAGTATTTTCTTAAAGAACAGCTTTTAAGCTTGTAGCTTATCACTTGGTAATTTTGACAGACAAGCTACAGTTGTATAAAACAAGTTTCTTAACTCAATGAGATAACATCTGAAAAGGAAATTAAAAAAAAAAAAGACTAGAGAACAGAATGAGTTTTCTTTGGAATAGAATCGTTTCAGTGCGAGACGATATGGATATCGGAACTGACCTTATATACGTATATGTGACAATAGTTATTTTAAGAACAACATATTTTCATGAAAGGATCTAAAGAAGGAAATAACTAACATATTTCTGTTTTGGAAAGCCCAAGTTTGAAAATTTTGCAGCCAACTTAGATATATGTGTGAATGATGCATTTATGTTCAGGAAAATTTACTTTAGCRATAGGAACTTAAGAAGAGGATAGCTTAACTCACATTTCACCTGCCGTGAAGCTTCTATTTTAAAAGGAAGCTCACATTCTATTGTCTGCACTGCAGAAGTTAAAAAAAGGAGTTCTTAGCCGAATCACTGAATACACGGTATGCGGTGTTCCTTTGAGGACAGCACATCGGGAGATCATTGAATGGTGAGCTTTAAGCCTTCATAATGAGTTAATTGTGTCTAAGCAACACTGGTATCCCGGATGTGTTCCAGTCAGCTCTCTACCGGAATATGAGTAGTTTTGAAAGAAAAAAAAAACGAAAGCAGAGTCCCCACCGAACGACGAGACTTAATGTTGTTGTGCCTATCTTCGCTTAAGTATCCTTGGACTATCTTTAGAGACACGTAAAGTTCTTAGCAATAGGTGAATTTCCCACGCCGTATCTATCTCCTCCGACGTGGCAACATTAGCTAAGGTCAGCTAAATAACGAACACAGATTCGGTGAATTTATAGATGGCTTTGAAAGATAATTTGCCATCGGTTTGTGGAATATAATAAATATCGCATTTAAGGTAGTTTTAACTGATCATTTTACAATAGAGTCGGATTGCATAGGAAAAACAATCTTATCAGAAAAAAAAAAACTGCTTATCGAATTATGATTTTTTTAAATTGATTTTATCAATAGAATCTAAAGGAA